TTAATTATTGGCCATACCTGATGTGCTGTCCTTTAACGGGACCATTATACACCAAAACAATAAAAAAAAACTTCTCAGAGCTGAAATTAATCTAACCACTTATAAGGTCCAATTCTGTTGCTTCTGTTAACCATGACGTTGTAAAGGCAGCCTTCAATATCCAACTCTCAACATCAGAGGCCATCAACACTAGTGCATCCATATTTACAGCTGTTTTATCTCCGCCCAACCAACATTAAACTAAAGCTTCCAACAAAGGCACCAACTACTATCACCAATACCGCATGCATCAGCAGCTCTCCATCCTCAAACAGAAGTAACAGACTCAAGCAGCAAGGTGAACAGAGGCTTGGGCCCTTTTCTAATAGAAAGAAGGTCAACAGCTGAAGCATGGAGACCCACCATCCAGGTTAGGAGAAGAAGTACAAAAACTTCAGTCCAAATTCACCCTAACCTGAAAAGCCTTTGCAAGAGCCAAGGAGGTTATCTGGAAGACTACTGCCTCCAGCGACAAAACAAAAAGTCAATGAAGGCAATCCTGGGACTGCCAAAATAGCCAACTAACTAAAGCTTTTAACCATGACGTTGTAAAGGCAGCCTTCAATATCCAACTCTCAACATCAGAGGCCATCAACACTAGTGCATCCATATTTACAGCTGTTTTATCTCTGCCCAACCAACATTAAACTAAAGTTTCCAACAAAGTAAGAACATCCTCGCTGATTTTTCCAAGCCCGTTCCCTTGGCTGTGGTTTCGCTAGATAGTAAATAGGGACAGTGGGAATCTCGTTAATCCATTCATGCGCGTCACTAATTAGATGACGAGGCATTTGGCTACCTTAAGAGAGTCATAGTGGCTGAGGTTTCGCTAGATAGTAGATAGGTGCAGTGGGAATCTCGTTAATCCATTCATGCGAGTCACTAATTAGATGACGAGGCATTTGGCTACCTTAAGAGAGTCAGAAAAAAGTTGAAGTTGATAATGTTTTCGTAAAAAATACTAATGTCCGATGAGAATCCGCTGAAGTTAAACGATATGTAATGTTCGAAATTTATAAATATTCCTGGTTGAATATCTTAAATTTTCCGATTGATAAGCGTTCTAAAAATCACAATTATAGGTTTCAGAGTTTATAGTATGCTGATTATAGCGAATCTTCTACAACTTTGGAGAATAGGCGGGAGTTGCGCAATACATATTTAACACTACAAGCTATGCATGTTTTTAAATATAAACTCAATATAAACAACGTCGATATTAAAATAAATATATAACAACAAATTCGTTACAACAGCCATATCTTTAAAACGAAAAACTCCAAACTCGGGGGATACAGATATAACTTTATGCGGGAAGTAACATGGGCTATGTGGCAGCGGGCCTCAGAAGCCGTTTGAGGCTGCAAATTGGGGAAATATTAACCAATATAGCATATTTTGGTAAACACGATGACCAATTGGTCTCAAATTGAAAAGGCCGAATTTTTTGGTAATGTGTGATCAAGAGGGCCATTATTTACGTTTTTTTCTCTGTATGAGGACTTCTAATCATCATCAGTTATGTATTAAAACGATTTAAAAGCTTCGTGAACCCTTTATCTGCTACTCTGCTCATAATCTCGTCTTCTTTGCTCCTGACAAAAAGACAAAAAATATTGTGTACAAATCGATAAATTAGCGTGTAAATAAAGAACTAAATCAGTTAAAGCCATTTTCACCCAAGTAACGCCAGGTACTCTGCAAGTGGAATGTAGAATTAGTTTTTCTGATCAATTCTATACTTTACTGACTCGGCAACTTCACTAAAATGATATACCTAAGTAACTTAAACAAGAAATATCTTCTTGTATCAAAGAATTCATGTATGCTTGTACCTAAATATTTTAAATAAATATCTTCATAACATTTGTCCAAACCCCATAAAAGAAATGGAAAAATTATTTACACATATTAATAGACCCTGCGGCTTGAGTAAGAAATATATTGGGCCGAATGTGGCTTAATGGTTAGCATGCAATTTTATGGATCATATACTGCTAACCACCTCTGCATTTCAGATGTGATGAGTTATAACTGCTACAGTCATTCGGTTAAGAGTAATCTTGGAAGCGGTGGCTGCTCCTGATTGGTCGCCCTCTCTCTCTGATCACTAGCAGCCCATGTGTAACAGAAAGAGTGTTGAAGATACCATATACCAAAATAAAATTCAATATCATAGTGCTATACACAGCCCTTAATTAAGACCAATCATTTATTAAAATCGTTATATACACTTCTCGATTTATATAGTTTTACATGTACAATTCATGGATACTATGTTTTAAGATGTATATATATATATATATATATATATTTATACTTTAACACTCCACATTACACTCTCAAATCTTACATACACCTTTTC